CATTTGCCGATCATGAATGGAGATTCATGGAGACCTTTTTTTGGGGAGTCCCCACGAAGGCTGAGGAAGAGAAGTGCGATTGGCGCTGGAGGTACCTTGACTAATCGGGGCCTAAAGGCACGAATTGAGAAATTCGCCCAATGATGGCTGCACAATCTGTGGCGGTGGTGTTCCAGTTCGCCACTGTCGGGGGTGGGTTAGGATGGGTTCGAAGGGGGGAAGGTGGAGAGGGTACTCCGTACAAGTGTACACATTGTACAAAAGGGGGAAAATAAAATGGAAGGGAAAAAAATATTAAATAATTACCGTTGAAGTGCCATCCAGCGGCCCTTTCTGCCACATTGATAGGTGCATTCCGGAAGAATTCTACTTCTGGAACGCTAACGCTCAAAATACCGGGACTTGACATATCGGAAAGGGAGGCCGGTGGCTTTGTCAGGCGCAAGGGGAGTCCAAAATCGGCATACGAGTACAGAAATAATGTTGGGCGGCGCACACTTGGGGTATGTCCTGGCTGGTACGCTCCCACTAGACTCGATCATGATCCCACCCTGAATGGGGTGGAACCCAATTCGCTCGAATCCCGCGGTGGCGCGGCCCAAGCGACTACCACGTTAGGGTTAGGAATTCAATCATTCCTTCTAGGTCCATGCAAACCAGGAAGAACCGCGTACGGCCCTGCCGGAAATACTGAGACGCGTCTGCAATGTTGTCGCACAGGGTACCGAGCCTGGTTTAGAGTCTGGGAGGCGACCCAAGGCACCAGGTCGATCAGACCACTCTGTCGGGTGCGGCGGGAACCCGCCGCAGAAGGTGTACTGTATTTCGACCTCATGGGCGTTGAAAGGTGGCAACGGTTCCCCAATGATTGGGGCCGGATGAGATAAGAGAGCGCGCGAGAGTGGACAGTCAGGGCGAGCAGGATTGTCCAATTGGAGACTCTGAAATTGTGAAAAATGGGCCGATGTGGAAGCTTGAGGCGCGAGAGACGAAGCAGGCGAGATCGGAGGTCGCTATGGATCCACTAGAGGCGGTCACCCGGGATAAGATGCCTCCAATCATAATCTCCACCATGACGATCTTTTGTGATTTACTGTATACCATTTGGCCAGAGCCAACTGCTGTCCCCATAGATCTCCATAGTTAGGAGGTTGGTGCGGTGGCAATGGTGTGGGGAAAAGTGAAGAGAGTGAAGCATTACTAGTGCTCGTACCAAGCCAAAGCAACAGCAAAAGCCTGGAGGCAGAAGTATAGAATCCCTCGGGGTACCCGCGTGGGAGGGGACAAAGGGATGTCCGTGTCCGCTCTCACCACCGTCGTTGAGTCCTTGTTGATGAGCTCTGTGGTTCTCGTGAACTACACCCACAGCGCACTACACAATTACCCATCTGCCCAGAACTGATAAGCTAAACGAGACCCTTATTTGCCAATAATTGATGGTGTCTATTCCCCGGATTCTTTCTCCAGATCATGTGACACCAATCAAACGCACCCATCGACCCATTGGAAATACTTCTGTGTATCGAATTTATAACAATAGCCACGAGCCAGCGAAAGTCATTGTCCTTTTGCCACTCGAGCTCCAAAGCTCCAATTATTCGCACTTCACTGCGCCAACCTCATTTCCGAGCTTACAATTTTTGAGGACTACCGCCCGCGTGACTTATCCGTGGTACGGGCTCGGAGTATGTACCATTAACAGAACAAAGATAATACTAGTATGATTCAGACTGATCAAAGGTACCTCGATCACCCAACCACATGACTCGAACAATCACACTATGCCTATCGTGTCCCTCGATCGCCAATGTCAGTGCCAACGCCAATGCCAATTCTGCGCGCCCCATGCAGTGGAAAGCCACCCACTCCATAGTACAAACTCCATCCAGACTCCATACTCCATCCAAATCCCACCATTGACACTTCAACCGTGTCGTGATCAAATCTACACATCGGAGTTGGCCCGTTAGTTCCTTTTGCTCTGCCAAAACGATCAGCACTTTCCCTCTCTCGTATTCGAGTATCCGTACCTTGAACAGATCGCCGCAAGCCCCAACGCCTCAGGCACTCCACTCGGGGGCGGTGGGCTGAAAAGATGACATCACCTCCACCGCCAACACTCCACGTTCCTGGCGCATTCGACCAACCACAACCAATCATTCCCACCACCGACGTTAACCATTTGCTTTCCCGCATAATGTGAGCTCCAACTGAGACGTCGCACCGTTAGATATTCCTCCCCATTTCACGCCACTGATGTGTATCAACATCACAACCCACATCGATCGCCAATGCATCGTGTGAAGTCACAATGACCCTTCGGACCTGAGACCTCCGCTTCGCCCCTCTGGATCGGAGCGGATTAATCTTGCGAACAGTCGAACAACATCATAACGAACGCGCCACCGTCGCAGAAAACAGGGTACATAATGTATGTACTGTTGTACCTTCTCTGCTTGGACACCGGGCTATTTCCCAATCACGGAAGACGGATCTGCTATGATCGGCCTTAGGGGTTGCGCAGCCCTAGCTATGATGGACCTAACCCAACCCATCTACGGATGTACATACATGCATCTGCAGTATTTACCTGCCCCCATGGCGGGACAGTCAGCGGAGCAGTGGTCTAAGAGCGAGAGCGAAAGCATGTAAAAGTACTCCGCACCACACCCAGTCCCAGTCGACATGGTCAATGTCAATCTGCACAGCCCCGTCCCTGGTCAAGGAAGGGTTGGACTTGGACAAAAGCTGCCAGATCGAAGGGTGATCAATGGGTCCCAAATTGAGTCATTGGTTCATCGTTCGTTGTGGCCAAGGCCAAGTCATGCCTTTTATTCCCTGTCGGGAATAAGCACCTGCAGGGATCAACAGAACAAGAACAAGACAAGGTTCCAGCTGATGAGGAGCAGGGGCAGAAGCCCGCATCGCTTCTCTCCCCCTCACGGGTATGTACATATGCATCTTCCTCGTTTTCGTTAAGAGAGCTTGGCATGCATTCCATGTCTCACAGGAGGATCGTGGTAGGGCTGGGGCTGGGCTGGGCTAGGGCTAGGCTCGGCGGATCATTGATTTGGAATTGGAATTGGACCTGATAATACTCCGTACAGTGCTGTGTCCCGTGCCAAAGTACCTACAGATATCCCTTCCACTTCCACAATGTGATTTACAGATTCAAAGTACGTTGGCGCCAGACGCCAGACGCCACCGCCCCATCCTACAGTACATGCATACTGTCAAGTCCAAAGTCAAAGTCAAGGTCAAGTGCAACTGCAACTGCAACTGCAACTGCAACTGGAACTGGAACTGCAGAAGTGGATATCAATTCAGATCCAGTCCAGACACTGTACTACACTTAGGCTAGGTCTCCGCCTTGTAGAGGAGAGGGTCAAGTGAATATCGCCACTTTCAGGCAGCGACATACCATACTCGTACCTGCTAGATGAATTCAAGTTTGCTGTCAGGTCAGCGGGTCTGTTGAATTCCGTGTGATCTGCGATCCTAATCGAGTGTTGGGGTGAGTTAGGAATGTCTTTGGATCTACATTAAGGTCGTTAAAAGCAATTTCATCTTATTGACGTAAATCTTACATATTAGCGATTTACCTGGATAAGGTCGAATTGCTGGTCGGTTATACACATGGAAGATGCCTCAATATGTGAGAATGATTACATATTAACGAACTTAAATTACAAGACATATTATTGGTTGAGGGTCGACTCGACTCCCTTGCACTCGAGACGCATGTGATTCACGGTGCAGTCCAATGCAACGCAGAGTTCCGGCCGGTCTAGCCCATCCCGTCGCATTGACAAGTCAGGTGGAATGTGAAATGTGATGCTTTTCTGGAATACTGAGTCAGGTTGGGAGAGTGGTAGAACATCTATGTGGACCATGCATCACCTCGCCCTCACGTCACGCCTCAAAACAAATACTCACAGCTTCGATCGGCTGCTACGCACATGACATGCACGCATAAGTATCCAGGTAAGTACTTTTTTCAGTCAACTTGAAATTTATAGCAGTTCCGGGTTCATTCGTAAATCATATATACTACCTACTACAACTAGGATAGTCCAAGAGAGAAGAGAAGATACTACTACTACTACTAGTATCATTGACGATTCCCAATGTAGAGCAAAAAAAAGTAATAGCTAGTACCATTAGAACAGCTAATACAGCCATGTGAATCATACCATACATAAATACTAGGTAAAAAAGGGGTTCTCCTACACTCCACTCCAGTCCAGTCCACCCATACACACAAGCACGACCAGAATCGGTCAGTACACGAGTGCTGTCCCATGCCGACATTGTCCGTCCGAACCGAACCAAACACAACAAAAGTAGAGCAGAGTAGAGGTAGGAGAACATGCAGTCATAGAATAGAAGAAAAGAAAAGAAAAGAGTAAGAAAAAAAGCCCAAGAGAAACTTTATTCTTAGCAGATGACATTCCTCAAAGGGTGAAAAAGAAAAAAAAGAGAAAACCAACCCAACGTTACGTTAGTTCAGCAGATGGTGAAATGAACATGAACATGAAAAGAAAAGAAAAGAAAAGAAGAAGGGGGGTGGTCATCGTCATCGTCATCCTGCCAGGACTCGGACGAAAAAAGTCTGAATATGAGGGTGGGGGGGAAAGTAGTATCAAAAAATCACATCACATCACATCACATCACAGACATCACGGTGATTCCCAAAGGGCGAAGACAAAACCAAAGCCAAGCCAAGCCAGGCCAAGCTAGGCCATACGAACAGAAAGAAAATAGTCATCATCGACAGAAAAGAAAAGAAGAAGAAGATGAAGAAGAAGTAAAGAAAAATGTGTTCATGCGAATCTCATTAGAGCAGGATGGAGGATAGAGAGGATGGAGAGGATGGAGAGGATGGAGGATATAATTAGAATTAAGCAAAGCACCAAGTCATCAAGAACAAAACAGGATCATCATTTGCTTTGCACCCACAAGGCAAGACAATGCTAGACAAGGCAAGGTAAGCGATTGATCTATCGATCAATTCCAAGAGAAGCGACCTTCCCCGCAAATCTAGCACCAGCACTTCCACGCTTAGACAACTTCTCCTTCTCCTTCTCCGCAAAGCCCGATCCCGATCCCGAGCCCGGTCCAGAACCAGGAGCCTGCGAAGCAACAGAAGAAGAAGAACTATCCTTACTAGCGGAGCGAATGGTAGGCAGCGAGCCGAGGGTATCGTTAGGGTTATTGTTATTGGTAGACAAAGACTTCCCAGGAACGGGGGGAGGAGCGGCGGCGGCGCTGAACCCCGGATTTCGCGCAACGCGCTGACTGAGGTACAGCTGTGCTGCCGGGGATAGAGGGATTGATGGTGGTTGGGGAGGAATCTCCGCGCCGTTCTGAACCAGCAGTTCGGCCATGGGGAAGGGGATTGCCTTTGCGCTGGGCCGGGCGGAGAGGGTCGTAGGGGTAGGGGTAGGTGTTGATCCCGGTGTGGCGGGGTCTGTAGCAGCCAGTGCGAGGAATATAGCCGGCGTACTGCGTGAACGATCGGGTACGTTGACATTACCGCGTAAGGCAATTCCATAAAGGACGCCCTGGATATCGTTTTTCTTGACCGAGGCGAGGAGGGTCTCGTCTGGTGTTGCGAAACGGGAACGCGGGGATGGGACGCCCTCGACGTATGCTCGGTCGACATATTTCGCCGTGATGAATTTCAGGCGTTGCTCGCGGGTGGAACTTGCGATTGGTTTGAGCGATTGGTCGAGTGTTGCTTCCCAGATCATGTTACTGACGCGATTGCCGATTTGGAGGAGGATTTCGACGATGTCGTTCGAGAAGGAGTGGACGTCTAGTGTTAGAGATCGGATCTTGGAAATGTGTGTGCCGAGAGATCGGTGAATACCACTGCATTCGATGCATAGTACAATTCCCAGGTTGATTGACACCCATTCGACCTTGGAGGAGGATCCACAATCCGCACACCATTTATTTCCCTCGTCGGCGTCGCGTACCGTTTGGAGCAGTCGTGCCGGGTTCTCTTCGTAGCTGTTACTGTCATGGCGAACATAGCTCGGCCTTGCTCCGACTGTTGTACGGCGGGTGACACCACCGGCGCTGGCACTGCTAGAGCTATTTGAGTAGGAGTGATGACCAGACACCGACGAGCTTTTCCCGGTAAGAACCGAACCGATATCACGGCCAGCAGAAGACTTCTCCGATGAGGACGGAGGAGGCGCCGGCATACCTTGTCCTTCAACGGCGCTTTGGAGCGCGTTATTGATGGATCGAATCCAAGTCGCCATATCTTCTTCCGATGTGGCTTGATAGATGCGCTTGAATTGGGGAGTGATCACTTCAAAGCAGAAACGTCGCTCGGCATTACGAGCTTCCCGAACCGATGCCATTCGAAGGTCGATGGGCTCCATGTGCAGATCCAATTTTTGCTTCCAGTTGCTGTATTCCGAGAGTTTGCCTTGATCCAAGACAATCCAGAATCTGCGGGGAAAGTGTTTGTTAGTTTATGAAACAAGCTAAGCAATGCCAAGAGACTAGACTAGTACTTACTTGTGCCAGGCCTGCTTGTTGATACCCTTCGGATCCATGTGTGATCCAGGACGGGAAAGCGCCCACAGCAACCCTTCTTTTCGCTGCTGGCCGACACTGCGATCGATCCCAGTAGCAGCAGGCTCCTCCAGATCGCGAATGCCCTTGAACCGATTTTGACCAGATCCGCCGGCAGATCCAGCGCTACCAGTAGGAGCAGATGTGCCAGCAGCTGAGCTGACCGACCCGACATTAGCCTGGGACGAAACGGAGGAACTATTGCTAATAACCCCCCCGGAGTTGAGAGCCAGTGCTATCAGCTCGGCCAAGCTCAGTTTCATTCGAAGCAGCCCCGTTGGCGGCTGTGGTAAATGTAGCGGCCACGTGTGACGGACCTGCGATGGCATCGGGCTCAAGGTAAGGGTTACTGTTCTTTTCAAGAGCTCTGCGAAACTCCTCGCGCTCAGTCCGCTTGAACTGGAACTCCTTATCCGCCCTATTGACCTCGTGAACTAGAGAGTCCAGTTGGGGAACCATTTTTTCAATCTTATTGGCAGCCGCCAAGAAATTCTTAGCTTGAAAGTCTGCATATTTAGTCAGATGCGACAAGACTTCTTGTTCCTTGCGACCTCCGTGAAGATCTTGCATGAAGGCAGAATAGTCGAAGCGTCTTAATTCATAGTTTCGACGTTTGGCTTGATATTTTGAGTCACTCTCTGCGCGCTTTTTCTCCTTGAGCGAATCCTGTCGCTGGCCGAGGTACCGACTGACGTAGGCATAATAATCACGACTCTCTTCATCAAAATCTTTCTTCTTCGCTTCCGCTTGCTTGATATCGTTAGTGTATAGCTTGACAAGAGGCTCGATGACGAGCTTTTGCAGTTGAAGAGCGTTCAACTGTTCATAATTTTGAATCTGACGGGCGATCTTTTCAAAATAGTGGTCTAAAGCAGGTTGAATGGCGTTGGCATTGGATGTCGATGCCTCGTTCAAGGAGCCCAGGAAACCCTCCATGGCTTCGTTGAAAGTCGTTTGTGCGGACTGCGCAGCCTCTGCCTTTTTCAAGACCTTCTTTATTTTTGTACGCATATTTCCTGTCTTCTGTTCCAACGCCTTCATTGTAGCTCGGAACAGGGGCCCATCTTCCACGTTCATATCTTCTCCGGCGCGAGAAGCAAGGTCGACTTTAACGGGAGGTGGGGGTGGGGGCGCAGTTGGAGGCGGCGGTATGCCCTCCGACGATTCAGGCGGGGTGATGGAAGGGAGGTTGGGGTTCGAGAAATTTTCGCTATCACTGGCCTGTGAAATGACCGACTGGGTGGAAGGAATGCGACGGCGGGGAAAGGGAACGGGCAACTCGAGGTTCGGCGACATTATCAGCGGACTAGGTAGGGACCGAATGGAGTTATGTACCCAGAAGGAGAAATGTGCGAGGGTATTGAGGCGGTTGGTTCTTGAATCGTAGTCCAAAAAGCTGCAGCTGTTCCGCCAGCCGCCACCTTTATCCTCCGTCGTCTTGGGAGGCTTCCATCTCCAGGACCAGTCGAACGAGACGGAGGGGCTACCATCGGTCGAGTAATCACCAATCAGTTGGACATTGGAATTGTTTTGAAGGTTCGGGTTTGCGTGAAATTCCCGCGTAATTAGGTTGTCAAGTTCCTTGGAGTTTGACGCGTGGGCGAAGGTGAGCCCAGTGAGGTTGGTGTTGGCTACCTCAGGGAGCGAGGTCGCAACGCCATTGACGGTGGATCCCGCGAGATTACCGGTCGCTGTTTGGCGGAGGACGAAGGTGAAATTAAAGATGAGTTCCTCATCGTTTGAAAGACGGAGCAAGAAGGTCGGGATCGCAGCAGACGGAGGGACATCGGGGTCCTGTTGTGTTGATCCACCCAGTTAGTCCACAGTCCACAGATGCCAGTATAATCGGCGGTCGCACGGTGATACCTACCTGAATATATTCAATAGGGGTGTCGTCGCTTGCATCTCGCTTCGCTATATACCTGACCGCAGGGAACGCGTTCGGGGAGAGGGTTAACAGAGGGCGTCGGGAGTTGCTGATGGTGACCGATGCGATCGAGACTATGGTCGATTTCGTTAGCATGGGGGGGGGAGAACCCGAGTGTAAAACAAGCGCAGGGCCTGTAAGTCCTGGACATACATCTATTCTGGTCCTTGAAGAACAAATTTCCGGCATCGTCGAGGCGACTGGCGACATTGCCCATGATGGCGCAGACGAGAAATCAAGTCACGGCGCGAGAAGGAGATGGGGTCAACACCAAGTCAATCGGCCATCGATAAAAGGGTACGGAGTCAGATGGCCCTAGGGAATGAGAAAGCGAACAAGGAGATAAATCCGTCATTCAGTCGTGGAGAGCGGTTTGAATGTGTTTTGAGTGTGGGAGGAGAAGGAGGAGGGGGCGGAGGGCGGAAGGTGGAGGGAGAAGGTGGAGTCGAAGGGAACTTGAGAAGCTTGGGATCGAACAGTGGAGTATGAGTACTCCGTAGATTGGTTCGGTTTCACTTGATCGTTTACAGAGTACGAGTAGACTACTGTACCTGTGGTCAAATATTGTTTTATGATGGAAAGCCCATTCTTTTTATTTCCAAGTTACCTGTCCCGTGCTATTATTACTGCTACTGCTATTCACCTCGAGGGGCGGAGCAACGTCTTTGTTTCAGCCTCCATGCGCCTCTCCTAAAGGCGCCAACATTCCATTCTCATACTTATGAGTCAAGTGTCAAATGCCCTAGACTGGAATGGTCAGGTCAGAGGACACTAGGACACTATCACACTAGCACACTGTGGCTGTGGCAACACTGTACACGATAGTCTCATGGTTTGATCTCTATACCATTAAACTAACTAAGAATGACGATTATGCTGCATATTGCTATGATACACCAAGACCCGCGTGAACGTGAATAATGAACGTGAACGTCGTGACATTCCCTCGGTTCCGGACCGAGAGAAAGAGAAAGAGAAAAGGAGAGAAATATCAAGAATGCGAATGCAAAAAGTATTAAATCCATAGGGATTGCCAGCATGAACTAGACAGCCTGTCCAGCTCCATTATTAGCCGGAGTCGACGTCGAAGATCCATTAATCTAACCAGTCGAAAACGATCGTTCACGGCCAGACACATGCTGACCCTTCGTGTTCGCCTTCGCCTTCGACTTGTCCGCATGACCATCCGCCTCAACCCACCGCATCATCTGCCCCTTAACATCACGCATCTCATGAACCTTGCGCGAAAGATCCCCCCGCTTTTTAGCAGTCGAAGGCTCAGCAGTCCGACCATTAAGCTCATCTTCATCCGAGCTCGAAATCGACAGCGAAGACGCAGAGCTCTGCTGGAGATACGTGATAAGATGACCCTGCTCTTTCTTGAAATTCCTCTGTTCATCCTTCATCTCACCCATCAATTCCGCATCCTCTTGACTACCCAATGTCGTAATATGAAGGCCCGGGAAATTGCTCGCTAGCCACTTTTTCAGCTCCGGCAACATTGCCGAGTTAGGTCTGTATGTTCCACTATCGTTATCGATGAATAGCTCATAGTCGTCCGGATCAGTCGAAGTATCCTGCGACATCGAGATATTCTCGTGGTCGTGGTCGGCATGGTCATCATCATCCTCGTCAACGGCAATGCCACCCTCAATACGCGGTGACTGCGACGGTGACTGCGATCGAGATCGGTGTCGACTCCGAAGCACGCGTCGCCGAATGAAAAATTCACCCGAGTACGCGATATAAATCGATACATCACTATGCATCGTGTGTTTACTCAGCATATCGACGCCAAACTCCTTGCCAGTCTCAGTGAATCGCAGTTGTCCATCCAGCGTAATCACGTAAGTGAAGATTCGTCCGCCCTGGCCGTAGCTCACGAATTCGAGGAACTTTTGCGTAAATTCGTGGCAGGGTTCGGGAAATACGCCGTGGAGGGTGGTTCGGTCGAAGTTGTAGATTCGTTGGTGTTGGTGGTGTAGGGCTTTGTGTAGGATTCTTCCTCGAAGACTTTGCGCTTGGAACATGCCTGCTATAAAGGGTCTGAATTCGACGTAGCGGTGGTAGAGTCCTGAAGGGACAGGCCCGGAAAGTTGTATTTGAATGGCCTGGAAGCTAGATTATCAAGCTGTTAGCAAAATGTGGAAGGAATAGTAGCGATGCAGTGCAATGCGACGCGATGCGACATACTTGTATCGGCTAATTGCCTTCCCACTCCCATCCGTCGTCTCAACCCGATCCTTCGTCCCAGCCAACCGCCCAATAAGAGGAGAAAAGTGCTTGAACCAATGATTAGGGCCAGCAGTATACATCTGACCCCCCTCAGTGCCAGGAGTCCGACCAAGACATTCAATACTCGCAATCAGGAACGATTCCTTATGATGACCCGTCGCAAACGCGGAAACATTGGTAAAGACATAAACGCGCTTACTGCCAAACCTCTTTTTAATCTTAAACGGCTGCTCCTTAAACCCAGGCCAATCCTCCGACAGTCGTCCAACATCAATAAAAGCGATTCCCAATTTATCGTCGTGATCCGCGGGATCCTCGTCCATGACATAGGCTTTCAGTTGGAAGCCCGAAGCGGGCACATTCGCGACAATCCATTCGCATTCCCAGACTGGATTCATGTCCTTGCGTATTGTGGGCGTGCGAAATCGAATCGGCGTATCTTGCTTATGGCGTCGGGGCAGGTCGACGGAGAGTTGCGCAAAGACATACGGGTCTGAGGAGAAACTGCCAAAGTCGGCGACCGGAAGGTCAACACCACGGTGGAAAGTGAATTTGAGGGTATATCCCGGTGGGGCGGGAGGGATAGGAGTCGCATCGAAGCCTCCGGCAGGCTGGTGCGAATCTTCCTTCATGCTGAGACGATTTTGGAGCTTGTCGGCTTTTTCGACCAGTTTGGGCGCATAGTGGTCGACTTTTTGCGCCATGATGAAGGTGAGGGGAGGAGGAGTGTTTAAGTCAAGTCAGGTCAGGTCAGGATGAACGTGGGGGGGGGAAGCAGTCTCATAGTCTCAAGGGCTGATAAGAATAGGAACGATATAAGCGGGTCGAGGGAGAAAAGAAGGAAAGGAAACACCATCGCAGATGCGCAATGGGGGAGGGGGGGGCATGGACAATCAGGGGACCACCGCTAAGGGTGGGGCAATTTGTAGCGACGAACCAAGCTTCAGCCTTACCCACTGGCAGGACAGTACCAAAGGTAGGCAACAACATTAACCGCGGCTGCCAAGGCATGAGATCATCCTGGAGTTTGATTGGGGGGGGGCTGATCTATGTTGTAGTACGTACATGTAGACCAGAGTACCACAGTTGGCTTGTCGATCAATATCTTGCTAAATATGGTGAAACAGAGGATCAATGGTCCATCCTTCGTAGACTACCGTGCGAAATGTACGTAATTGAATATTCTCAAGGTTTGTGAGATACGAGTATCCGAGGCTAAGGGGAATTGTGATCAATCTAGACAGAAGGATATGACAATATCAAAGATGCATACACGACAACTCAAGAACTGTCGAAGAGAAAGACAATAATACCAATTAATGGAAGGCGCACTAAGGGGCCTGAAGGTAAAAAATAACAAAGCTAGAAAACATACAAAGTCTTTTCGTGAGGTCATCTCGCGCTAAAAAAGACACAGGGACGCGTTTCCCGATTCGGTAAAAGATGTATGTTTGGTGACGTCGGGCTAGCCACGAGGGTGGAGGTGGAGAACAAGAGATTGACGACGGTGGCGTCCCTGGGAAATTGACATCCCGGAAGACTTTTCTTGGTTTCAATTTATTTTATTTAAACCGGTAGTGAATGGGTACGAACCATAGGGCTGAACACAAGGCTGAACCATAAGGCTGAACATAGGGCTGAAGAAGTAAGTAAATTGGTAAGAATTGCTTGTAGGTAAATTGGCGATCTAACTTTGAGACTTGGGCAGAAACATCACGGAAAAGCAATACAGCGAGAAATAATACAGGGTAATTTTCGTGAGGTCATATCGAGCTGGCGGAATAGCAAAAATTCGGATGTCAAACGCATGTGCGCAGTAAATGCGAACGGAGGTGGAAACCCTTTGGGTGCACCATCGTCCGATCCTGATCCCTCCGTAGTTAAAAGGTCTAAGAGCCACGGAACAAGAACTGCATATCTTCCGGGGTCAGTTTCTCCAAAGCAGCAGCCTGGTCCTTGTTAATGGTTCCTCGGATCAGGTTCGCTTTCTTCTCCTGTAGTTGCACAATTCGAGATTCCACCGAATCTTCAATTGTCAATCGGGTAATCACACACGGTCTCTGCTGGCCGATACGATGACTCCGATCGGCACTCTGCCATTCTGCCGCAGGGTTCCACCAGGGGTCCACAATGAAGACACGAGACGCCTCAGTCAAATTCAAGGCAACACCGCCAGCCTTAAGGGAGACCAAAAACACCTCCACGTCGGCATTAGTCATGAAATGGTTGATCGAGTTTTGGCGCTGCGCGGGTGTCATCGTACCGTCCAGCATGACCGTGTTGAATCCTGCATGACGTAGACGCCACTCCACGAGCTGGAGCATTGACGTGAACTGGGAGAAGATGATAGACTTTGGGGTGTGGCTCTTGTTTCTCTGTTTGTACAGTTCGTAGAGGAGGGTTTCGATTTTTGTTGATGATGTCCAATTCTCCATGGAGATTCGGTTGATAATCGACGTCTTCTTGATACTCTCGGCCTCCTGCTCCTTTGTTGGTTGTTCCAAATCAATCGACAGAGCGATGTGGCACCGAGGGCATTCTGCACTATCTTTCGAGTCAAAAGACTCGATGTAGTCCGTAACACATCGACGGCAGAAGTCATGGCGGCAGCGGGATTGAATCGCATCCTCTGCCGGTTCATCACAGATTGTACACACGAGCACATTGTGGCCAGGTTGGGTCTGTTTCTTTAAGATAAGGTCAGGGTGATTAGCCACTTGACGCATCTGCATAATCAGACCAAAAATGTTGGCATAGTTGTTCAGCATAACACCTCGGCTCACGTAAGTATCAAATTGACGACCCGTGTTCGTCATGATACTACGAGAGAAGTCATGCTCGATCTCCCCAAAGAATTCGTTGTGGATGGTAATTCGTTTCGGTGGGAGTTCCATTGAGGCGGTATGTTCCTCCTTCAGTCGTCGAAGCATGATATGGTCTGTGATCAGGCGGAGTTTCGCCAAGCCTTCCTTGCGCTCGTTCTGAGTTCTGCCTTCCGTGATTGGATTCAAGATCTCCTTGTTGAAGACGGAAATGTGGTTGAAACCTGTGTGACGGCATTGCGTACAACGCCCCTGCTTATCCGCCATCCACTGGAGTTCCTCACAGGGACATTGTTTGCAGAAGTAGCTAGCAAACGGTCTAACTTGCAAGAACCGAAGCAGAGAGAAGAACTCGCCAATTCGATTCTGCACTGGGGTACCCGAAAGACACCATTTAAAGTTGGCCTTCAAGGCAAAGCAGGCCTTAGCGACACCCGTGGTACGTTGCTTGATGCTATGAGCTTCGTCAAGGATGAGTCGGTGATAGTGGATGCAGTGTATGACGCTGTCTGCTTTGACCGTGTTCCCTCCACGAGACCAGCCTTTCTCTTGCTTGCGATGCATAGACTCCAAGCTCGAATAGGAAATCATAATCACATCGTATTTTCGAAGATCCGCCTCGGTGAGCTTCTTCACCTTCGAGTCAGAGCCATGATAGACGAGCACTTTCAGTTTGCCATCAGTGTATTCCTAGGTAAAGGGTTAGTTACCGATCGTATGTATTTCCAGGGGGGCGTACTACAAACCTGAATTTCCTTCTGCCATTGCATCAAAGCAACGGGTGGAACAATAACAAGTGTTGGGTCAGGCTGTGGGAAATCGGACATGATAAGAGACACGGCTTGGATGGTCTTTCCCATGCCCATCTCGTCACCTAGCAAGCCACCTCGGTATGACGACTTTTCCTGCTCAATCATCCAGCTTAGGCCCTCCAGCTGGAAGGGCTTTAACTTTCGAGTAATGGATGGCGGCTGCTGAGCGGGTGCTGGGGTGAGAATGGGCTGGGCTTTAAGCTCATCCCACATGGTTTCTACGACCGGGTGCTTTGAGACCAACTTTTTCCGTTCCTTTGCCGCGCGCCCGGCTTTGCGCATCTCGTCCCAACTCATAGGATTATCTTCGGGATCAAACTCGGCATCTTCCGATTCGTCATGACTTCCGTCGAAGTCGAAGTCGAGTATAGTGGCATTAGGATGAGACGAATGTTGATGAGATGCAGACGGACCGGACGGAACCCGATTCAAGGCCCCCCCTGACCTCCGCAGCAGCTTCGGCTTTAACACTTTCCAAATAATCATCTCCCTCTTCTGAATCCCAATAATCCCCATCATCAGATATCAATGACGGCGGGTGCGATCCCTCGTCGGAGGTCAAACGCTCATCCGAAAAATCCTCTGCTGAGTCCGAAACCTCATACCCTTGTCGAATGTCTTGAAGACGTTGTAGATTCGAATTAGAGACGTCTTGGTTTGATACCTTCTGCCTTTTTGGAGCCGATGCCATGTACGCGTATTCCTCCTGCTGGAGTGCCTCCGCCAAAGCCGCATCGTCCTGAGTATTGGCGGCTGACATGGCAGATGCTGATCTTTTGGTACCACGTTTCGAGGCCTGCTGAACTCTACCTCTGGCATTTGCAGTGATTCGCTGAATCTCCTTTCGGGCCTTGGGTAATGTTCTAGTTTGTTTCGCATCCGATTCCACGCCAGTGCTAACACTGGTTGCCGGCGTGTTTGTACCAGGAGTGCCACTGAGCGAACTCTGCGCGGTGTCACTGGGGGAGTTGCTCTTTTTGCCGGGGACGATGACTTCGATCTTGGCTGCTGCCCGTCGTCTTGTCATTCTCGGAGTGATCGAGTTGATCGGGTCTTCTCCTTCAGATTCCTTAGTGTTGCGGTGGGTCCGGGGATTGGTATGCAGTGACCCGCCCGTTTGTCGAGACCCCGATCGACAGAGGGGTGATGAACCCCTTGGTGACGTCTCGCTGAATGGCGCGTCATCCTCCGAATCAGGGATAATTTTCGCCTGAGACCGTCTTCTCATTTTGTAAAGCGGATGAGGCCGAGTGAGGGGGGGGTAGACTCGAACGAGGAGGGAATTGGAGGGAGCGTTCGGAGGGGAACAAAGAGCGTGGAGTCGATTGCAACTAATTCTGGAGAGAAGTCAGTTTGTATTCCTCGACTGGAGAAGGAAGAGGGCCTTTGATCAAAGGTAAAAGGGGGGGAGGGAGGGGAGGATTCGTACTCAAGTCTAATCGGGAGGATGAGGCTCCGTCCCAAACACGCGGGATTTCACGCGTTTATTTGGCGATGAAACACAGGTAATTCGGAATCACCGAATCAAATGATGATTTGAGAAGGACACAAAGGGGTCAAGAACAAGCGAGCGTAGGTTGAGGGAGCGTGAAAGAAAAGGGGGAAGAGAAGGAAGGTGGTGAGTGAGGGAGTGAGAGAGTTGACTGGGAGGCAGAGTGAGTGCCTGATCCAGAACCAGGAAACCCAGGAAAACTCTTCACTCTTCACTCGGGCGAATCGGATTTTGCAAGGTTTGTCACCATTGGGCTCTTCTGCCTAAACGAATACTTTTACTTCCATTCCATTCGACTCCTGAAATGATCGATCGGTGATCGGTGATCAACCTACTGTCGTCACTTATCGCCTTGCATCGTCGATAAGAGCCTCGCGTTAAGTGCAACGCGAAACTGCCGCGAAATCCCCGACATTCGCCACCATCCACCAACCTTCCCCCCTTATCCTCTTACACACCTTTTGTCTTCGGTAACAATGTGAGTATTCAGTGCGTACTTTGCTCTTCACAGCCTGGCTAAGATTTCTGTCTTCTTCGCAGGGCCGATCGACGTGCAAACAGAAACAGAAACATTCGGGGCCCGTATGCTTACTCCTTCTTTGAGAACATCGGTGCAATCTCACTAACATAATATCGGTAGACACTCTGCCCTAACTGACTTTCTTGCTGTATGTCTAAGCCCCTGAACCTCAATCCTTATACCGATACGTTGCCAACCATGAGAACCTGACTAAACTGTGAACTTCTAGTCTAACAACATCTCCGCGGCCCAAATCCGCGATGACTACGACCGCCGAATAACCGAAGCAGCGCGCCAGGCCGATGAAGAAACAACGGCAGCGACTGCTGAGAATCAAGATCCTGAATTTGAACCCGAACCAGAGCCAGAATCTCCAGAGGATAAAACAAAGAAACGCAAGCGCCAACAAGCAATCGAGAGGATCAAGAAAACCAAGGAATTTGCTCGTCGCAAGGCTCGAAGAACCGGCGAGCCTGATGATGATGACGATTGGCTAGCTAACCAGATAGCCGACGAGAAGGCACGTCCAGCCCCTGGCCAGTTGGAGAATTGCGAGATATGCGGCAAACGCTTCACGGTTACGCCATATAGCAAGGCGGGTCCGGAAGGGGGTCTTCTCTGTGCGGATTGCTCGAAGAATCAGGCCAAAGGCGATGGCAAGAAGGCACCTCCGAAGAAACGGGCTGCTGGGCCCGGTCGGCGCCAAAACCAGAGCAAGCTGCTTGATGGATTGACTGCCCATGGAGCCCAAAGTCTCCTCGAGATGTGTATCAAGAAGGTCGCAGAGAACATCGAGGACGTGGAAGAGTTTGGTGACTTGCCTCCTCCTGTGATGCACCGTCTAAGCCAAATCTTATCCAGAAGGCGAGCGGTCACTTCGAGGATCTTGAATCTGTTTCTTCGTCGAAATCACAGGGAACTCAACATCTATGACTGTGCCCATCTGCAAACGGACGACTTTCATAGGATCCTTGCTCTGATGCCTGACTTGACCAAACTCAACCTCCGATTCGTCACTCCGATGAAGGACCACATAATCGACTACATGATAGAGAACAACAAGAGCATTCGAGATCTCCATCTCGATTCTCCGAACCTAGTGACCGACGATTGTTGGCGCCAGATGTTTATCAAAATTGGACCTCGCCTCCAGAGCCTAAAGCTCTGGAATCTCGATGCAGCTTTTGACGACAAAACCGCCGAGGTTATGTGTGAGAATTGCACTGGACTCGAGCGTTTAAAAATGAAATACATTGCGAAAATCGGTGATGGGGCACTGAAGGCGATATCATCTCTCAAATCACTGAAACATCTCTCGTTATGTTTTCTCCGAGAAACCGAGTCCGAACCTCTTCTTGAGATAGTTTCGTCGATCGGTCCGAATCTTCGCTCTTTGTCTTTGGAAGAATTCAAGAATGCCGACGATCATTTGATTGAGTCCATTCATGATAACTGCCACAATTTGACAAAACTACGATTCGCTAGGAATGATCTGTGCACCGATAAAGCCTGGGCTTCCCTTTTCCACAACTGGTCCAACCCACCTTTAACCTATGTGGATCTCCACAGGGTCCGAGACGTTGACATGTCAAATCCCGCTGGCCCTCCCGAGCCAGTCGGGCTGGCTTCAGATGGATTTGTCGCCCTTATGGAGCACTCTGGCTCTAAAATTCAGTCAATAAATGTCTCGTCGTGTCGCCACATATCACGTGACGCCTACGAGACAGTCTTTGCTGAGAATAAGCAATACCCACACCTCAAACACCTTGACATTTCATTCAATGGGTACGTGGATGACTATATTGCGCAGTGTATCCTACGCTGCTGTCCGGCTCTTACGAAATTCGTTGTCTTCGGTTGCTTCCAGATTCGAGATTTGAAAGTGGGTAAGGGTGTTGCTGTGATTGGAACTATCGGCGCGAAGCTCACTGTCGAGGGCATCGTACAAGCGGAGACTATGTGATCAGGGGTTCTGGATCTCTTATTGTTGTCTTGATGGTTATCCTCTATAACAAGGGCAAGCCTTTTTTGAGGCATTTCAATATGCTAGACACGTCACCGTTGTCCATTTTTAACCCGTCACTCTCGTGGCCGGCCCGATATCACTGAATATCTTTAACTGAAGGGAAAATGCGTACTTGGCATGGTACGACTTACGAAAATGAGCCATTATTGTATCTTAGATCTATTATTATCTTGAATCGATTGCTTTTTCGAGAATTTTTGTCCAAGTATCTGAGCCCGCCAACTTTCCCTTAGCACGTCCTTCCCATTTGTTTAATCATGACACACAGCCTCAGTGGGGTAGATAGTTAATTTGCCTACCAATGCGCCCCCTTATTCTGTCTTATGTTCCCTACTAATTTCACTATAATTTGAATTGCGACATCGCTATGCCGGCTGATATAGATGGCCAAGGCCATGGCCAGAATGATACATATGAGTGGGAAGCAGTGGGCGAAACACCACTCATACGATGTCCTCGCGTCTCGTGGAGTTACCATACCAAAAGTCATTTTTGCAGATCATCATTCATTTGGTCTTAACTAAAAATACAATAAATCAAAATCAAACTCCAAGACCGCATGCTTTATACGCATATAATCAATAAAACAAATCACGAATCTCTCTAGTGAGCCATCCGCTTCCCAATCTCACTCTGCCAGTTCCGCGACTTCTCAAAGCCATTCGTCGCACTCTGGAAATCAACCATAGCCTGATAAACCTCTTCCTGACTATTCAGCACAAAAGGACCATACTGAACAACCTTCTGATCAAGAGGCTGACCAGAAACAATAATAAACCTTGCCCCAGTCTCCGCATTATCAGGAACAGAAGCCTCAACAAAATCTCCCTCCTGTTCAAAAACAACATTATGAAACTGCTTCACATGCTGCGTAGAATCACTCGATCCAAAAACCGCATCCCCTTCCAATGTGTAAGCAAACGTATTCCACCCCTTCGGCAAAGCCTGCGAAATCCGTCCACCGGGGCGAATAGTCACATCAAGCAACCAAACAGGTGTATAAGCCAAATCCCGAACTGAGTCAATGCCATGCGACTGGCCTGAAATAACCTTAACAGTAACGCGGCCCTCGTCAACACTCGCGACGGGAATTTCAGAACTGCGCAGATCCCGATACCGAGGCTCGCACATCTTTAGTTCCTTCGGTAGATCGACCCAGAGCTGCATGCCGACATTCGGACTACCGTCTTCGTTCTCGTGCGGCATTTCCGCGTGCATGATTCCTCGGCCCGCTGTCATGAATTGTAAATCGCCCGGTCCGATTGTACCCTTGTTACCGGCGAAATCTTCGTGATCGACGCCGCCGGATAGTAGGTAGGTGATTGTTTCCTGGCCGCGGTGCGGGTGGTCTGGGAAACCGGCGCCCTTTCCGATGGTGAAGTGGTCTAGCATCAGGAAGGGGCTGAAGTTGCGCAGCTTGGGGGTCCCGATTGAGCGGCGGACACGGGCACCTGCTCCTTCGGCTTGCTCGATGGCAAGGAAGACTTGGCGGATGGCGCGGGCTGCGGACATATTTGTGATTGGGGGGGACGATTGGAGATGGGTAATTCAATTCCACTGGTAAGTTGGAAGTGGTTTGTGAAGATTCGGTCTTAAAAAGCTGTGACAGACTTGTTGGTGCGCGCTGTTGTAGAAAGCTTATAAGGGAGTCCTGGATTGAAGGACGATATGTAAAGATGATTGCGGTGATGCAAATTAGAAAGGGCAGAAGTAGCTTCATGAATGAGATGGCGGCCTTTTATAGATTTTTGTGAGCTGCGCTCTCGAAGTTTCGAATGCACTGTTAAGAATCAAAAGATTGAACTAGAAGTGCTAAAGTCAGCGGTTAGTCAAGCTTCATAAATATTGATCCATCACCGCAAGCGACAAAGCACTTGTCAGAAATCAGTCAGCGGTGCCATTGGGCGAATCATCCTGCGCTGGGGCGGCCATTACGAAGCTGACCAAAATCAGTGTCAGCATGGCGCTAAGCTGTATCAGGTTAGCGTTTGTGCCATATATCCGAGGGCGGATATAAAGCTATGTCATCTAATCACGTGTTATATTGATCACGTGTATAGTTATTGGGGGTATGTAATGTCGTCCAGAATGGATCTGAGCAGCAAGTAATTAGTATTATCATGAAAATGGTAGTCATTCAGATTCTTCCTAGACTCTCCAGGGCTGGCTTTTGTACCTAGGTACCTACTAGTAGGCATTCCATCCATGGATGTCTTCAACTACTTACTAGCGAAGTTGGCAGTCCGGGATTATTCAGCTCATGTTTTGTTCGTTCTCGCCTCTCGATGTAGATCATGCTCTTTTTGCCTGCCTTTTTTGCACGGACATGTACCGGTATATTGGCATATCGGCAATGTTCGAGAGTAAGCCTTGCCTTGTACTAAAGGATATCAAATTGAACAGGCTCTCAATCATGTAGGTAGGTTCACTCTGATTCGCTTCTAATCGAAGGCCTTAGCACTCTTTTTATGTACGAGGAATCATCAGTTTCGCCTATTATCAGCCACCCTCATATCAGATGATTTCATTCGGTGTGACCGAAGCTGGGCTGCAAGGGTGTAACTTTGGGTCGATTAACGAGAAAATGCCCAATACAAACTTTTCAAACATCACTGCCAATTGTCACTATCATACCCCAAGGGGATTTTTGTTTCAACCTGATATTGTGTATCTAAAAGAGACAGATGAAAGTATTGTGATCACACGTCAACCGCTTGTTTCCGAAACCTTCGATTCAAATTATCTTGTCTACTAGGAAGGGAATGAAAGTAGCATGATAGGTTCTAGGATCATTACAATTTTTACAGCAAAATACTCCAATGACAGAATACTATATACTAGAAAAAAATATGACCGCATCGAAGGCAAGGCCGATCATGACCGAGTGCTTAGTCCACCGTGACCTGTGCGAAAAGCTGTTCACGCAAAATAAAATGTCTCCCAATGACGCTGTCAATCCTTCAAGAACCCAGCTTTTATATTGGATCGATTTCCCTTGGCACTACGAAATCCATCCCGAAAATGGCGCGGCGACATTTTCGGACAATGCAACTTACATGGTCACGCCCGACTCGTGGGATCTGATGGTATCCTGTCTAGAGGCATTCTTTCTCTAACACCATAGTCTATAGTGAGGCTTGCAGCCCTTACCCATACGGCGTGCGAACAGTCCCCCTCTTGTCCAGACATAGCGCCAATGTTTTACATCCGTGATAACATCAGTGAATTGATCGACAATATGGCTACTAGTATGACTGACCACATCCGTGCAAGTGGGAATGTTTGAGTTCGTGGCCAATATTTCCTAACTGAGACTCGGACTTCCATCCGAGTTCGCTGGTCATGGATTACGCTTGCGAATATATCTGTTATCAATTCTATTGTGGTTTTGCGAGATAACTGGGAAATACAGAGATACTCCCAAGAGAGTCTAATGCAGAAAATTCCCAATCACCAAGTGCTGCAAGAAAGAATGAGGCAGTAGGACTTGTAAAAAGGAGAGCCACTCTCTTATATTCAAAATGTGGTGCCGATAGGGCCAGTTCTGTTAGACCCCTAGCTCTTTTATAAGCAATGCAGAGAGCAAATTAGAGAATTTATATCAGGCCCACTGAGCAGATCAGAGGGATCAGAGAGCCGCTTAGAGAAACCACTTGATGATCACTGATCTGCCCCGAGCGCTCAGAGACGTACTTAGGTCTACTCAGTGTCAGTGAGCAAAAGCAGCACTCACTGAGCACTAAAACGGAAAGGGAAGTTGGAGGCCAAGATCTTGCAGCGGAAATCCGGTACCTAGGTACCTACTAGTAGCCCTGGGTAGAAAAGCTTCCATCAGAAATAATGACCATTTCAGCTCTCTATATCTGTAAACCTATAGACGACACGGTCGTTGTTTTTAAATGGGGAGCAGCTGTTGGAGTATACATGGTTTCAGAAGCGGGGATCGGCGGACTATCAGATAAGGCCACGGAGCAGCTTCCCCGTCCCCGTGCCCGCTCCGCCTAATTACACCAACGCGCTGGAACGCTACCTACTGCGCAGATCTCAACCAAAGGGGCTCCGTTCTGCTACCTGAGATACGAATTTACTCCATATGAATCACTGACCCCTTCGCGTGCGACATATCTGTGACCTCCCGGCGGGGAAACGCCCAGAGACCCGCTCGACCCATTCCCCAACCTCCAAGCTCTCGACTTCTTCCCCATACAGCAACCCCGGGTATCAGACATGGGTCGATCAAGGCATAGCCTAGCACCATGGCTGACGTTTGCCTGCGTCGCATCCAGTGCCTGGGCCGCCAAAAGGCCATTCAACATCCACGACGACCTCCTGGCCTATCCGCAGGTAGCTTCCAGCCCCGAATATCGTCTTTGAAATAGCACTTGCGCTAACCAAATCATTGTCTGTAGTACCAAGTGGTTTTCCCCGACGAATATATCCTCGATTCAACAGCTGAAGAACTACTCCAAGCACAAGCCGATGCCGCAGACGACGCCTCCAGCTACGACCAGAACAACCCTCAGGTATACATCAATAAGGCGCACACGGGAGACGCAACACACGAGGCCGGAGACGGAAATTCCCCATCCTACGCCTACGAAGAAATGATAATGGATGACCGGCGCCTTCTCTGCCAAATTCCACACGTCACCCAGGACGACCTCAACACGACGGCAAACAACCAGACAAATGAGGCGGAGCAGCAGAAAGAATTAGCCCGCGCAACGGACCGAGGCCTTGAACTCCTACGCGAAATGGAGGGAAAATGCATGTACTACTTCTCTGGCTGGTGGTCATATTCATTCTGTTACCGGAAACAGATTAAGCAGTTTCACGCACTCGCTGCCGGCCGCAATGTTCCCCAGTATCCGCCAATGGAGGACCCCACAACGCATTCCTTCATTCTGGGCCAATTCCCGGCTCATATGAAGGAAAATAGCAGGGAAGAAGATCAGGAGCCACAGCAGCAACAACAGAGCTCACAAACGGAAGTGGCAGAGCTACATACTAAAGGTGGTTCGCGCTATCTCGTGCAACATCTACGGGGTGGCACGACGTGTGACTTGACAGGTCGTGATCGCAGGGTCGAAGTGCAGTTCCACTGCCATCCACAATCTACGGACCAGATTGGCTGGATCAAGGAGTTGACCACCTGTTCCTACCTGATGGTTATCTACACCCCACGTCTTTGCGATGATGTTGCTTTCCTGCCCCCACAACAAGACGAGATCCACGACATCGAATGCCGTGAGATTCTCATGCCTGAAGATGTACCTGATTGGGAAGCTATGAAAGACTGGTACCAGGCCGAACAGTTAGTGGATGCCGCCGCCGCAGTTGAACTGGAGAAAGTTCAGATTGTCGGCGGAATTGAGGTTGGCGGCCGTAGACTGGTGGGAATGGAAGGCAAAGTGATTGAGAAGGGCCGCGTGGCCTCAACCGCTGAAGAGCGGACAGAGGCTGTCGTTAAGCGCGAGAATGGCGAGGTCCGACTCGTGTCTAAGCAATTGTTGAAGAAGTACGAGCTTAACGAGGAGAAGCTCGAGGAGATGCAGAAACGTCTTGATAAACTTGCAGGTGGGAAAGACTGGACACTCGAAGTCGTCGTGGAAAATAATGGGGTGATCAAGTTCCAGGGTGTCGTTGCTGAGGATACTGACGACACCACTGATTCTCCCGATGGTCAACCGCTGAAGGACGAGAAAACACCCCACGCGGAAAATGTGCCGCTGAAAAAGTCTTCGGATAGCAACAAGGACTCGGGCGACGCACCACCGACAGAGAAACAATCCCCATCAGACAAGGAGACAGAGGAGACCGAGACGGAAGGCAGTGAGGAAATCTTCAAAGATGAACTATAAGGGCAATCTTGTACAGTAAATCGATTTATTGGCGTGTGTCTCTGTGTCTGAACAAATAAACGTCAACCTACGAGGGTTCAATATATGTCCTATCATGTCGTGTAGGACTCTAGTGTATATATAGAATTTTTTTTTTTTTGATTTTTTCAAAAATAGTAACCCATGTCCACGGGTGCCTTGTGGGTTTCCAGAAGAAAAGGTCGTGGCCAGGAACAGGAACGGCCGGTTAGCTTCATGCCCAAAGACGTCAGACGCCCCAGTTGCCGGCCGCCGAGTGGGGGCATCAGAGGGAAGACGGGAGGCTGGTGAAGATACAGGAGGTGGAGGTGGAAGGATTGCTGAAGGATTGCTGAGTGCAGTGCAGTGTTGTAGGTATGAGGAATGGGAGAGTAGTAGTGTTGTTACTGCTAATTTATATTGTAATCGATACTAACTCCGTTAGTACTGTTACTGCTAACTCGACTGGATGCAGCCATACGTAAGGAACGTGACCAACGACCAACGAACTCCTATCGGCCCACCTTCCCATCCTCCCTAATTCCAATCCCATTCAACTTCACTTTACAACTCTCCTCGACTTTGGTGCTTTCTGGGTGTCACCTCCCCCTACTATTCCCTCCAACTCCCCCCTCCTCGTCTTCCCCCTCGCCCCCCTTGCCCGCCTTGCCCGCCCTCCGTGCCAAGGCTGACCCCGTCACCCACGCGGCCTCTCCGACCAACACCGCATCCCGCATCCTCCACCACTTAAGTCCAATTCAGCCCCCTCAATCGCTGCTCTCCCCGCTGCCCCAGGATATCGATTCGTCGTGAATTACAGTTGAACGCTCGGAAACCGCGGCGTTCTGCCTCACGATGGGTTTCCTCGGCGTCTACTCGGCTGTGTTTGATTACCAGCCTCAGGGAGAAGGCGAATTGGAGATTCGCGAAGGCGATTTGCTCTACGTCTTGGAAAAGAGCGCCGAAGACGCCTGGTGGAAGGCCAAGAAGAAGGCAGATCCCGAGGATGACGACGAGCCGGAAGGTCTCAGTCCCAAACAACTACGTTGAAGAGGTGAGCATCCCCAGAGCATGCGTGACCTGCAAGGAGAATACACCCACTGGTGCCTGTCAGGACTCTTCGTGTGCAAGGCAATCGGCACCCCACAGGTTCTAGCCACGGCGTGTGCGCGATGGCGTTGGATCTCGAGGAATTGAACCATGCTGACTCTACTATCATCTCGACAGGCGCAACCCACATACAATGCTAAAGCTCTCTACGACTATACGCGGCAAACGGACGAAGAGGTTTCCTTTTCCGAAGATGCCGAACTATTGGTCTACGACACATCAGATCCAGACTGGACTTTGGTAGGGGTCAACGCGGAGTTTGGATTCGCGCCCTCAAACTACATTGAGCTCATTGAGGAGATTGCATCCCACGGCGGCGCTGCAGCCGCAGCTCCCCCTCCTCCGCCTGCCGAACCCAAGGCGCCTTCTCTTCCGCAGCGACCAACCGCTCCCCAGGAGGAGGAATATCAAGCGTCGCCTGCGCCGTCTCCTGTGCACAACCCCGCCGCCGCCGCGATTGCGGACATTATTCATAAGCAACATGCGCCTGCTGCCACCTATTCGGAACCCGCGCGCGAGGAATGTCCGCCTCCCCAGCTTCCTACTCGACCTTCGCATGACCAGGATCGCGAAGCACCCCGGCCGAGCCTGCCGCAGCGTCCGCCATCAGAACAACTACAGTTTTCCACGCCAATGGAACCTTACTCGCCCGAGCCCGAACCGTCTCGTCCACCCCGCCCTCTGGTGGCATCTCCCCCAATGCGAGACATGCGAGACAAGACGCACGTCAAGGAATCCCCCCCCCTTACAACCGAGCGGGTGAATTGACACCGAAGTCGCCCTCGGGTTACAAGATGTACAATATCAATGAGATGGTTGAGGTTATGGGCAAGCGAAAGAAGATGCCTACGACAATAGGCATCAATATGGTGACGGGAATCATCTTCATTTCCCCCGAGGGTGATGATAATCAGCAAGAGTGGACAGCCGAAAAGCTGACCCATTACTCTATCGAAGGCAAGCATGTCTTTGTTGACCTGGTCCGACCTAGCAAGAGTATTGATTTCCACGCTGGTGCCAAAGATACCGCTTCGGAGATTGTGGCCGCGCTTGGTGAAATCGCTGGAGCCTATAAGGCCGAGGGTCTTCGAGAAGTCCTTGCTGCCGGAAAGGGAGGCGGTGGCAAGAAGAAGGGCCAGATCTTATACGATTTTATGGCACAAGGCGAGGATGAGGTTACGGTGGCTGTGGGCGATGAAGTTGTTGTCATCGATGACACCAAGTCTGAGGAATGGTGGATGGTGAAACGACTGAAGAATGGAAAGGAGGGCGTGGTTCCCAGTAGCTACGTTGAAGTGACCGGATTTGTGACCCAAGATACCCCTGTGTTGGTAGACTCATCAGGCCTGTCCTCTGTGGAAAAGAACCGCCTGGAGGAGTCTCGGTTGGTCAAGGCAGTGATGGGCAAAACAAGAACCGACTCTATGGACTCATCCGAGGTAAGCATCGCCGTACAACTACTTGCAGTACCCCGACATATGCCTGTTTCTATGCTAACACAAGTTTTTGTTTACAGAAACAGCATCGCAAGCGTGACAGTAAATCCAGCTCCAAGTCAAGTAAGCATCGTTTTCTTATATGTCTACAAAACATGGACCAAAATCTAACCCTGTACCACAGAGCCTGATTCAAACAAAGTGAGAAAATGGACAGACCGGACCAAGGCCTTTACCGTTGAAGCGCAGTTCATTGGTCTGCAGGATGGAAAGATCCATCTCCATAAGACCAATGGAATCAAGATTGCGGTTCCAGTCGCCAAGATGTCCGTTGAGGATCTGGAGTATGTGGAGAAGGCTGCTGGTGTCTCTTTGGACGAGGACAAGCCCTTGTCCAGTATTCGGGCTCGAGCCACCTCCGACCCCAAGGGTGCCGCAGGTGCCTCTGTGCAACGGCCAGAATATGACTGGTTCGACTTCTTCCTGAAGTCCGGCGTTGGCCCACATCAGTGTGAACGTTATGCCCAGAATTTCCTCAAGGATTCCATGGATGAGTCTGTTCTGCCCGATATCAGTCCCGAGACCCTTCGCTCTTTGGGATTGAAGGAGGGTGATATTTTGCGGGTCATGCGTCACCTAGACGCCACGCTCGGACGCACTGGTTCCAAATCCTCCAAACTTCGCAATGTCAGCTTCGGTGGTGAGGAGGTCATTGGCAATGGTGATGAAGGCGGTCTTTTTGCTGGCCCTGGTGGCATGTTGCGTAACAACACTCGCAAAGGACGTCCAGCACCCACTCTACAGGCCGGCGATGTCGTGGACCCCAAGGCATTTGAGCAAGCGGATGGGTCGAAGCCGAAGGAGAAAGAACGCGCTGCCAGCCCCCCCAACTCCCGTAGCTCCCTCAGCTCCGGAGAAGCCCGTCCAACGTGGATTTGATGACGATGCCTGGGAAGTGAAACAACCCAAGCAATCCACAACATCGGCCCCTGCTGCCCGGGTTGCATCTCCCACAGCCGCGCCTGCTCCAGTCCAGAAGCAGGTGACTGGGGCGATGGCGGATTTGACTTTGCTTCAAGCTCCTCTACAGCCTACGCCCGCACCTGCACCTGCACCAACTGTTTCTATCCCTGCTATTCAGCCCCAGCAAACTGCCGTTCAGAGCCCACCTCCACAGCAGCCACAAGCAACAGGTGCTACCCCCGACTTATTTGCTCAGGTCGCACAACTTGGACAACAGGCTAGAGCGCGCCCACACGCTCCTCAGAACATGAACCAGAACTCGCTTCTTCCTCCCCCCTCCCCCTCCCCAACGCCCGCTCTCGGCGCCTCAAAACTTCTCGCAACAGCAGAATTCTTTTGGCCCTCCTCCTTTGCAGGCTCAACTTACGGGTATTCCCCAGGCCGGTCAATTAGTCGGTCCACCAGGTCAGAACTTCCAGCCCCAGATGCCCCAGATGCCCCAGCAAACTGGCTTCATGGGCCAGGGTCAGGGTCAGTTCCAGAATGGATTGATGCCCCAGCCAACGGGATTCACACCCCAATCTCAATTCGGAATTCAGCAGCAGCAACAGCAGCAGCCCTACGGCAATGGCCAGCCTGGCTTCCAAGGTGTCGCTCCTCAGCCCACAGGCTTTGGTGGATTCGCGCAACCCCAGCAGCCTATGCAGACCGGCATCAACTCTGTGCTTCCCCCTGCTCTGCAGCCTCACCCAACTGGCATGAATGGGTTTGGTAATGCCAACAACTATAACCAAACCCCACCTCCAGTGCCTCCTATTCCTCAGCAACCAACGGCGGCGCCTCTGTCAGCTCAGCCCACCGGACCTCCTCCTTCAATCAGGTTCGGTGTGAAGCCAGATGCACCACCTCCCAGACTTGCTCCTCAACCGACGGGGCTCAGGGCGAACCTTTCGCAAGCCACGCCCAACAACCCTTTCGGCTTTTAACAAGACCAAGAGCCCTTTTGCATCCCCAGCACTTCCCTGGCTATATAATCCCGTCCCGTTTGACCAGTGACATTCATCCTCCTTTGTCCTTTGCCGCGAAGCGAATCTAGCCGCTGGAGGTCAGGTTCAAATCAGAATTTCGACATATCCTGCTTGTCTTTTCGGTTCCCTCGCCGAGCCTTACTCAGAAATTTGACTCGCGTACATAATCATGGCCCCGCACCACCCCATTCCATTCCCCTTGAATCCATCATAACGCAGCACGTATCATTGCACGCCATGACATGACTCTGGCATCCACAAGAAAGCCTTACGCATTATCGAGCGCCATTGTCGATCTCACGTGCCCCAAGAGCCTTTCTTGACTCATTTACTCTCACGTCCTGCATTTCCTTATCCTGTTTCTTTGCCTTTTCCTTTCCCTTTCCCTTTCTCTTTCTCTGATGTAATTTTGTCGATGGTGATGTGATGTGATGCTTACTATTACTGTTAAATGCCCTCGTTACTTTTCGCCCATCTCCTTGTGTTCCTCAAACGGCCTCGAACCGAATTCCCATTTCTATCCTACCTCCAGCAGTCCAGCTTCTACTTTGTTCCTCCATGCCTAGACGGAAAAGCGATGCGATGCGATGCAGTGTGATGCCCGAGTGCTTTGCGGGCTTCTTATCTGTCACATAAGACCTTCCAGGGGCTGGGTTGGATGCTTTCAAGTTCCATCCCTCTCGAACATACAGCGTAACTTAGCTTCAACTTTATCAAGTCTGAAATATTAGGGAGCATTGCCTACTCTATTGTAGTATGTATGTTCAGTCGTACTAGTAGGTTTGTATTGAATTTGAGAGCAGCCAAATCTTCGAACTGGAAGCCAATAAGTAGCTTAGTATTAAGATAATCCATTATCTGATTTTAATTATAAATGCCCACGCCCAGTATGTATTATTTATTCTTCTCTTCCGAGTCTTCTTGACCGTCAAGTTCGTACCGCGTCTCATGCTCGGTAGGTAACTCAGCCACCATATGAGCATGGTCCATCTCATGCGGGAGATCCTGGCCATGTAGCTCCTCCGGCTGCATAGGTTGAGTTGAGTCAGCCTCAGCATGAGTTGTTTCTTGATGTTGTTTTCTTCGCCTCCTCATGAATATGAACAGTGCCATTGCGAGCAATGACACACCAGCAATAACACCAACGACTATTCCCGCTATCGCACCCCGGAAATTGCAGAGGTTGACGAATTACCGCTCGTGGCGTCTGACGTAGTATTGTCCGAGGAAGTTGAAGTTGAAGTTGAAGATGCCAAACTCCGAACATAGTTGACATTCCATCCTGTGATGGCAAACGCACCGACAGTCGAGCGAGACGTCATAGTAGTTGTGAAAATATGGTAGAGGGAGCTTGCTGTTGGGGAGGCGTAGGTGAGGATTTGGCCAGAGCTGACAGCCATCACACAATTGCCGGCTTTTCCTCCTAAAGGGTTATTGATTAAAGAATATGATCTATTTGAAATTGAGAATTAGTCAGTAGACTTGAATAATGGAGTGGCAAGAAAAGGTTCTTACGGAGGGCAACACTCGGCTATAGTGCTAGAGGAGGATCTGGTTACAGTTGCGACGGTGCTCCAACCTGATGGACAGGTAAAGGGTCCCATACTAATACCAGTCTCGCCTGGCGCAACCGACATACCGCTCTTTTCTGACTGCGCGAACCATTGCGATACGATGGACGGGTTGCAGTCATAAAATGCATCAGCCTTCTCACCATACGAAGGGTCCCAACCCATCAAGTGAGCACTGTTGGGATAATTCACAAATAAATCGCTGCAAGTTGGATTCGCTGTGAATGCCGATGTTAGAGGGACAAAAGATGTGATACCACCTGCTGTGCCTGTTCGCTCAGGTATTGTCGTGGCTGCAATTGTGGTCAAAGACGCGTCCGACATGATGAGACTGGAAGATTGTTAAATCCATTTAATGCAGGCTGCATTAACGGGTACTTGGGTTTTATTAAGGCTTGGCTGTCGAGAGGATCTACATAGGGTTCGCCTAAATTGTAAAAGAGCCATGGACCCCTAGGGTGTTATTGGGATGGTAAATTACTCCGTAGTTATTCCCGTAGTTACCCTGTTTTGTGGCTTCGTTTGGGGGCTCAACAGGAGCCCCAGTCCAGCCCCGCTCGGGGCACGGCTCCCTTTTGGTTCTAACCTATCAAAGTCGTAGATAACCTCGTATTCCAGGACTTAGTGCAGGGCTAAGCCTCTCTACGGAATATAGCAGCCAATAATATAACACTTTACAGGGAGCGGAGGTGGGCCCGCAGCGCCCTCCTATACACCCGTCGATTAATGCCGTAGCTCCGTTAGACCGGTGAAATTCTATGTACACGATTAGGGGAATCAGAGGAGGGGCTGATAGTTGGACCACCCATTTTGCTAAATACGGGTCCTTCCTAATTCAGATTAGTATGTATCCCTATACAAATTTGGATATACAGTGATACAACTAGACTTTGCAACCCCCTATTGCCTACTATCATTGATTACTTTTGAATAAAAGACTAGTAGTGGCCACCTAAGATATAATAAATTGGCCAATCTATTCCATATTAGGTAGCTACTAGTCTGCTATTCAAAGGCGGAGACTCAGACAGTCAATAAGATATTGTAACTTTGACTATGCTACTGTATGACAGAGGTATCTCTAAATTTGTATTGGAAATACATACTAATTTAGATTTAGAAGGACCCTGGCCTATCAGATCAGAGAGCCGCTTAGAGCAATCACGTAAAAATCACTGATGCGCTCCGAGCGCTCTAAGACATGCTCAGATCTACTCAGTGAGCAAAATCGGTGCTCACTGGGCACTAAAACGGAAAGGGAAAGTAGGTACCGTGCCGTGGTTGACAGGGTGCCAGGAGTCGAGTAGTTGCAATCAATTTAAATAGTAAGAAGATCATGCGAAGACAAGCTTTCGGAAAGCTTTCGGAGACACCCTAAATAACACTATTTTTAGGTATATTTCCAGATCATCCACACAATCAAATAAAAGTCTATCTTAAGCTATGCCTCCGCAATAAAACTAAGAATGAGACTAGAGCCAATGATAAGATCTTGTTCAGGTTTGAAACCGACAAATACTATCATTTCATAATGTTTCATCAAGAAAACATTCTTTGCTTTTTTGTGTCATAAAAAGCGTAGATCTTTTCAATTGTCGTAGCCAGCATACAAAGCTCCTCCCCTTCGCTTTTCCACCTCGAAAGAGGTCAAGCAGCAATGACCTGGTTGTCCATTGTCTTCATGTGATCCCTTGGGACTAATTATCGATACTTTTCTATTCAATTATTATTTTCTAATAAATTTAGTACTAATCAAAGAGAATAACCTCATCCATCGCATCTTTTGTCTCTCGCCAGGTTATTATTACTAAAACGAGAAGAAAAGCCAAGACCTTTCTAATCAAATGTATCGGTTTACAAGGTGCCCCTGAGGCAAATTTAGTATGAGTCCTAGGGGCAAGGTAAGCGCCAAGTATATGGTTAAATGGCTATATGACCCAAGAAGGTTCTTCATCTCATCTAGGGTGGTCCCCGACTACACGCTAATCCTCATTTGATTACCCCGGAATAACCCCGCGCACTCACTCGTTCGCTCGTATGGGACTAACCTATTTGTGTATCGGTACTAAAATTCAACGCCGAGTGAGTCATCTTTGGTATGGCAATAAATTCGAGTCCAGCAGTTAGTATACAAACCCCCATCATCGAACCTTTTCAAACTGATTGTCTACCAGTATTCTCATGGTCCTTTGTACAACCGGTATCAACTTGAACTTGAACTCTAAGCCAAACAGCCTGAGCTCCCTCACGCAAAAATGTCCTCCAACACCAACACCATCGACGCTGGCAAGGATAACCATGCCATCAAAGAAAACATCAGAAAAGCCTACAACAACATCGCCGACGCTCTATCTAGAATGGACAGCACCAACCCACAAAGTCCGCCTCTCGCATCTAAACACCCTCCTCAAAGCCCTGGATGATTCCACCCCCGCATCCACAGCAGAAGGAGATAATGCAGAGCCCCAAAAGAAAAAGAACATACTAGAATTAGGCTGCGGCGCCGGCGTCCCATGCACACAAGTCCTAGCATCGCGTGCAGACCTACAAATTACCGCAAACGACATCTCAGACTCACAAATCGCGCTCGCTAAAACCCGACTCCCCTCCGAGTCTGTGACTCTCATACAGGGTGACATGATGGCGCTAGAGTTCGACAATGCCCATTTCGACGCCGTGTTGGCTATGTACTCAATAATCCACCTCCCGCGCGAGGAGCAGAAGGAAATTCTGCAGAAGATTGCGGGATGGTTGAAGCCCGGTGGACGGTTTTTGGCTAATTTTTCCGAGGCTGGATTTGAGGGGGCGGAGCATCAGTCTTGGTTGGGCGGGAGTGAGGGTTCGATGTATTGGAGTGGGTGGGGGAAGGATGAGATTAGGAAGATTTTGAATGATGTCGGGTTTCAGATTGAGGTTGATGAGGTTGTTGTTGATGTTGAGGTTGATGTTGATACTGGGGTGGGTAAGGACGTGTCGTTTCATTGGATACAGGCGAGAAAGATTTAGATAAATCCAGATGTAGAGGGTCAATTTGCCTCTTTGAATAAAAAGTATATAGAAAATTGTGCGGAATTTTTTGGGGCGTTGTGTCTGTTTGGTTACTTACTGGTCAGTTTGGAGACTCTTTTCAAAACCCACTACTTCGTTGAGCGTTTAGAGCAAGATTCCGTCACAAGCGGCGACACGATGGCTTTATTTACTTCGACGCCCCGAAGGAATGATAGATTTATATGATACTCGAGTAGAGATATAAGATTCAACATTTGTTCATCATCCACTAGACAAGCCAGGGTTATTTCGCCCAGACAATCTAACCAAAAAAGACGGAACAGATATACACCAAAAAAGATTCATCAAGTCATGGACCACCCACTTTATAAAGGTATCATATAATGAACAAAGACCCCACCGAAAAGATATGACGCCAATGCACCCCGCTTCCAATTCAACATAAAGACCAAACCAAGGTATAGGTTCAAAAGGCTCAAAATCAGGAATCATCCCAGATCCCAAACACCGGGAGGTCCTCAGCCATGTATAGCAAGCCGCTCTCAGGGAACATGACATCTGAGAGAGGCGAGGGACCGGAGGCCGGAAGCTGACCGGTAGGGACGGTACCGCCGGGCGAACAGCCAACGGGAATTCCCGACGTCGTGAGGGCAGAGATGGCAGCGTCGTACGATAAAGCCGATGGGTCTGCCCCGTTGTAAAGTGCGTCCCACATTTCGTCACCTGGGGGGCTGGGTGCCAGGGAAAGGGTGTTGTGCGGCGAGGAATGAGGTAGGGGTACTGACAGCGGGTTTATTAGACGAGGAAGGAGATGGGGCGGCGGATGAACGATGGGGTTCAGAAAGACGGTTGGACGTGGGAATATCACGAGCAGAGCCCGGGTCGGTGCTGTTTACTTGGCCGAAGAGCTGATCGACTTGTTTGCTTCGATGATCCATCCATTGCCGGTTGCGTCGTTGGATATACTCCGCGACGGCAGAGCGGAGATATTTGACGATTTGATAGAAGCGGCATGCGTGAGGGTCATGCGGGACAAAGACTCCTAGGAACCGCTCTGCCTTGCCCATGCCTTCTTCCAGGGGTAGTAGGTTATCGTAATCTGCGAAAAACGCGGCACCCAGAACGACGGCCGAATTGAATACCGAGTTAATCAAGAATGGGAGGCGTTTTGGGAGGGAGGAGAATCGGCCGAGATCCTCTATGACATCGAGGCCGCGTAGAGCGGAATAGACGCAGGCATCTGAGAATAAGGAGATGCGGGAGCTGCCGTTCTTTGAATCGGATGATGAGGACGGATCGGATTTGTTCTTCACGTATTGTGCCACGCGGTAGACGAGAAACGGCCGTGTCAGGAGAATGATGGACCAGTAATAAGACCCGAAAACGTGCGCCCCCGCCAAGCTTTCTTCCATGCTTTTGTGATCGAGTCGTTCGGTTTGCATCTTGAGAACGTCGGGCAGAGTGCGCACCCACGCGCGGTGTTGGTTTGAAATCGATTCAGCAACGCTAATGGAGATGACTTGCTTCATATAGACGTCTGTTAGGATCCGCTCGAAAATGCGACAAAGCGAAATGACTGCAACTGAGAGTTGTTGCTCTGGAGTCGAATTCCGCTGCGAATCTCCGGATTCAACAGCGTCATCACGGATATCGTAGTCATAATCTGAAGTCGCTGGAGGACGCCCTAAAGAGGCACTGAGGAATAAGTCCATCATTCGGAGACTCTTCCAGACTCGTTCTCTGGCCCTTCTTTCCCGTCCGCAAAACAGCGCGTTTGCATCTTTGCGGTGAATCCCGACAGCATATGCAGCACGAAGCGCAATTCCAAGATTCATGAATGCGCCATTGCGCCTACATGCTCCAAGCATATACATCGAAACCAATATGTAGGACTGAATGGTGTGAATGCTGGGGGTTTCCTGGAAAGCCGAAAATGCCAGTTGCCGGCCACTACCGAAGAATTGCTCGGCTCTATCTTGGTGTATACTTGAAACTTGCGCTCCAATGGCGAGGACGAGGTAGAATATTGAGCTCACGGTATCTTCATCGCCCGTCGGGTTTCCTACCCAGTTGGCTAACCGAGGGTGGAATTCTTCCAAGTCGAACAGATCGAGGAGAGGGTTGGTAGCGAGTACAAATTGTCGGGCGAGTTGTTGAGCGTCTTCGTTGCTAGGTGGCTGTACAAGAGCACTGGGCTGGGTGCTTGGGTTATTCTGAAAGGCCTCGAGCATGGAATGCCTGGAGTTATCTTCGGTAAATTCACATCGACCAATTGATGAAGATACCACCCGACGAACACTTTGCAAGAACGACAGACTGGCCGAATCGCCAATATACATGAATTTGCCTTGTCCGTCGCGTAAAAGGCGTGCAACTTTCGGTACGGGCGCCGTCCCTTCCTTCTCGACACGGACCTGGTGTTCTAAGTTCATTCCTCGATCCTCAAGGGAATTCAACAGTCGATCCATCGCCGTCTCGCGTTGCGGTGAGGGTATTATGCGTTCGCTGAGTAGCATGGTCGAATCTTTGGCTTCAGGCTTGAGCAGCCGGGCGGGGCGATCCGAGAAATGACATTCCGATTCCTTCTTTCGTTGAACACAAATCGTGCAGGGGTGTTCGCCGTTGCATTTCTGCTTGCGACGCTTGCAACTATCGCAAGCTCGGCGACAGCGGAGGCGCGCCCCTGGAGCTGTACTTGCCCGAGGCATGGCCGCTTGCGCCGCTGAGGCTCGTTCGGTCAATGAGTCGCCTGAAAAATCCGTGTGTCGTAGGTCATCGATGCGGGGGAAGTTTGTATCCTGAGGGAACTTCTCGAGGATAATCTTGCGGGGCTGCGTCGCGCGGCGTGGCGGAGGAGCGGAGCGGGCGGGAATGCTGCTCTCCCCGGACTCTGAAATATGACTAAGCAAGTCCCGCCGGATTAACTAGGATTTCCAATTCTATACTCCGTACTCTTAACTTAAACCTTGACTCATGACGAACGAAATGATATTTCTCATAAATATCCCAAATTAAATACATTACTCCTTTTCACTCTGGCCGGAATGAAACAACCTTACCCCAGGTATCCGCAGTTCCCCAAATGCCAGATCGCAGGCAGGTCAACTGCACAATCTGGCTATGATCGACGAATACATTGACATCGATCCCAAACTCTCGAACATACCAGTTGAATACCTTGGGATCTGCAGCTTCAAACATGACACGCTCAGGAGGCAGCTCCTTCATGATCTTCGAGACCACATCTGTTCTCCATGAGTTCACATTCTCCGTGATTCCCTCCGACTCGATCATCAACCGCTTCACTCCGTTGTCGAGGAACTTTCGCCCCAAGTTCAACAGCTTCCCTGGATCCGAAGTCCCAATTGCTTCCAGTCCCGATGCTGGAGTGTCCCCACCGGCACCGAACTGAATGCCCAATTCCGGCTTTGCCTCTAGCTTGTACGAGTGCACTTTATCAACGAGTCGAAGCCAGTCATCCTCAGGGATCGACAGAAAGCCCGAGGAGAGTTCGACAACATCGAAGCTAGAAAATTGCCATATGTAAGCTCCTTTTCTCTCTTAGAGGTCTGCGCTTGCAAGGATGCAACTTACCCCAGATCCTTGCATTTGGTCAAGTAGCGGTCAAACACCGTGTCTGCGTCGGGGTGCGTGAGGAGATGCTCGGCCCAGCCGCCCTATCAACCACCACCGTCAGTCGAATTTAGACTCCAAGACACGCATTATATGCAGTGGCAGTATTGGTATTGTAGCATACCGTAGAGACGTAAACATCGTGTTCATGGGCAAGGTCGATTAATTCGCGTAGGGGTTTCTCCTCGAACAGAGAAAAGGAACCTAATTACGATCAATCAAAACTGTGAATCGAATCAGGTATCCTTAGTCCCGAAACCCACCTCCAGCAAACTTCAGCCCGTCAACATGGTTTCCCATTCTATGAAAGTAAGGTCAATTATGAAAACTCTGCAAGGGAAGACTGCAGGCTGACCAATGGACTCACGTTTCGAGTACATCTGCAAGATAACGTTTGCCCATTGCCTGCTCGCATGAGCTTAGTCCATTTGATTACTGACTCTGAGAAGTGTTCATACCGAGTAGTATGGGCCACGGATCTCCGTAACGCCCTTGCTTCGAGGCTTAACGGGTCTCGGATTCGATCTCGCAAAGCCGAAGCCATTCTGTTTGTCCTGGAGGAGTGTCAATCCTTGTGCTGGGGGTGTTCTAGACAGGCCCCTGGCTTGAGTGGAAGCTGCTGCCATCTTGGTCATGTGGGTAGTAGGCATGCGGCTCATCAGTCGGGTGGTTGCCACGAGAGAGTTTGTACCAGTCATTGTCTGGGGTTTTGCTTTTCAAGGTTGATGTGTGGTTGGGAGGGCTTGATAGAAGGATCAGGATCAAGAAATTGTGTATACAGTACATAGACTTGAAGGGATGGTTGGAATTATTTTGATTGTTTGTACAAGAACTTCAAGAGCCTGAAAGAAACAAAATTTGAACCTATTGCTAGCTATCTCTTCTTCTGGTGTGAGGGTTGACGTAAAATATACCTCACTTTTGCAGAGAAGCTTAAATGAGGCGGCCGTTCAGATGACATCAGCCATCCATATATAGTATAGTATATATAGTAGGGTACAGTTGTGCCCACCGATAGATAGTAACCTCTTTGACATGCATCGGATCTCTTTCAAGCCACCGAGAGTGGAATGTTTATTTTATTGTTATTTCAATAAAAATTGTGAGCTCGGCCGTCGTCGCCGAAACAGTCCCACTTTGGAGGCCGGACCAGGGCGGAGATAAGATTCCTAGCGTAATGATATGGCCCCGCCACAATGACTTAGGAATGAATAACTTGAACTACTAACATAGAACCACGTATATGTACTGTGAGTGCCATACGGTAAGTACCGGGTTATACAGCTCCAACCTTGATAGATATATTGAGAACATCATTATGCGACTGAAGCGTTTGTAGTAAAGGATCATGTGTACCCAAGGTCGTCGGAATACGGAGGATACTATCGTGTGTTGAATCCGTCGGCGTGTTCAACTTCCGATGCCGACGGGCGATCAGGATTCCGCTGACAAACTCGGCGCTGGCCGAGAGGAAGATCGGGGGATAGGGCTGTGATTGGTGGGTCCGAATATACATCGGTCGACATAATTATATAATTCTATTCATAATTCAGTTGATCTGTGTACAGTATATGGTATGTAGTAGTGTATGCACTTGTATTTTATACACTGGGCCGCCTTATGAGGATGTGGTCTGTCAAGGGTCCACACTATGTAACTATGTACCTGTATCTGGGTAAAAGTGAACCATGGCGCCTAGTTATTTCCCTCTTGGCGACTAGAATCGTTCGGCCTCTTAAGAGTGTCGGAACCCTGGGAAGTATTCTGTATACTCACTTTCAGGTACAGGTACCAGGTCATGTATCGTATGTATCCACAAGCATTCGCAGGCAGCAATCCCTAGTCATATGCCACGCTGTACTCGTACATATACATGTGTCAGATAACTACTGCATGCTGTCACCCCCGCTTTGTACGAGCATGACCGAAAGCGAGTACGTGAGCACGCGACAAGGGGAGAAACCGGTCTTGGCGGTTCTTCAGAGGATGCCAATGTCAACTAGCCCAGCCACAACCCAATCATGTCTCGACGACCCCAGCAGAATTCAGCCTGATACCTTTCTCGCACCAGTTCCAAGCTTCTGATTCGCATAACTATCAATTAAATGTGATCTCCGACTTCCGGTTACTCCGGCCTCCGTGCCTGCCCTACAGGGCTTGGCCATGACCTTGGACCTTGACCCTGGCCTTTCATTTGAGACTGCTCTAAGTCAAAGGTCACTGCCCAATTTCTTTCATTTCGGCCTATTCCTTTGTGTTCCTCTTCTCGACTCCTTCTATCTTTACTCCGTACCTTTACCCCCCTCTTACATTATCTTCACTATTTCTACTATCCTGCACTTGTTGTTACTCTTGCATATTGGTACTCGTCATGGGAGCCGGGGCGGTTTTAGAGCCGCTCGTCGTCATTATCCTCCTCTTTGGAGGTACTTGGATCAATCGCGTTGCCGATGCTGCCTTATCACGACGCGCAAGCCGTCGCCGTTCATTCGACAACCCACGAGCTTCGTCCCCCGATTCCATCGAGTCGGGTTATACTACATCAACGCCTAAAGACAGTCTCTTGAGTCCCCATGCTTCCTCACCGCCGCTACAACTGGACGATCGCTGGCACAAACGAGTCATTGGAATCTTCAGTTTGGCCTGCAGTGTGACCTCCCCGAACACTGCCGTGTTCCAGGACCGCTTTCTCAGTCGTTTGCTTCGAAAGTTGCCGTTCCTGGTTGAGTGTTGGTACTGGGCACTTGTATATTGGGTATGTTGCATTCCACCCCATCTCTTTTGAGCTTTCCTTTTCTCTGTTCCTATCCCGGTTCTTGGATTCTGTCGCATTATGTTCTTGACCCCGCGAACACTCGTAATAGACGCTCACAATCGTTTGTACAGACATATCAACTTGGCCGCGCATTCACCGCCGTGACCCTCAAAGAGGGAACCGTCGATATCGCTCGCAGACATGCATTGGAAGTAATCAAGGTGGAGGAGAAACTGGGTATCTTTTGGGAAACTCCGATCCAACACTTCTTCCTCCGACACCCTCTGTTGATGACTTGGATCAATTGGATATACTCCTTCATCCATATCCCCGGAACTATCGCCTTTCTCGTATGGCTATACTACTATACAATCACTCGCAACCGCATCAATGAGCCTCAACCAGGCAAGCCCCGAGGTGTTGTCAGTGGCTCACCCGCGGGCCCGCTACTCTATCAGGCCCGACGCCGTACAATGGCAGTATGCAATCTACTCGCGTTTGTGGTCTTCACCTTGTGGCCCTGCATGCCACCCCGCCTGCTGAGCGATCCAACAATCGAAGGCCCCGAGGCGGACCTTGGGCGTAGTTATGGCTTTATTGATACGGTTCACGGCGAGAATGGAGCTAAAAGCGTCTGGACAGAAAACCGCTTTTGTAATCAATACGGTGAGTAAAATATCCCCAGCAGACTCGAGGAATGTAATTTATCTACTAACAAGGTGAGCAACCAGCGGCAATGCCATCGTTGCATTTCGGATATTCTTTGATGATCGGATTAACAATCATGACCATCCCACTCCCCACCCATCACCGACGAACCCTCCGCATACGCATCGGACGTCTAGGCCTCCGCCTCCCTTCATGGCGCCGACTATTATGCACAATCCTCGGATTCTTATACCCATTCATTATATTGGTCGCGATTGTCTCAACTGCCAACCATTTCATTCTCGACGCTGTCGCGGGAGCGTTTGTCTGTGGTCTTGGGTGGTGGTCTAACGGTGTTCTGTTGAACCTGTTACCCGTGGAAGATTACTTTCTTTGGCTGGTGCGAATTCACAAGCCCGAGCCATCACGGATGCAGCTGTCGGATAGTTCGTGTTCGAGTGGTTGGGACTCGGACGAGTCGGATACACGGCACCCGTAAGGACTAAATAGCTTGGAGGCCTGGTATTCTTTCAATTGTATTTAATTATACACCCCCCTCCCTGGAGGGGCTGGAAATGTCGGTAGGACCAAAGAGTTTGGTCATGTACATATTCGAAGCGCTATAATTAATTTCTTGGGCCAAAAGCCTGGCCTCGGGCACCATGCCGAGTCATTCCGAGTCTGATTTCTTGGGTTCTTTGTCGGCTTGTACTATATAGCTCCTCAAGTTCTTGTTTGGGTTCTCACCTCTCTCAACAAGTCGACAACTTTTCATTCTATCTCTCTTCGTCCGATATCTTTCTATGGTCGGTAGCTTTCATGCTATCGTTTGATCTGCATCACTATCAATGTACGCGCTAGCACTCCTATCATTGATAAAGGTTCGTGGATGTCCTCTAGAGAACTCAATCATCTGGCAGTGGGATATGTGACCTTTGAAAGGCATCTTGAGACAAAGTACTCGATAACTTTAGGCATTACCCTTTTACTCCCCACTGATAGGAACCAGAATTCGAGTATATCCCTTCCCTATGGGATCTCAGTCACAGAGGCCTGTCACTCTGATAAAACCCAGCGAGACCTATCACTCATGCGGTAATGTATGCTCTAGAAACCATAAATAGATCTACTAGGTATAGTCTATAGTATCTATAGTATCTTTAATATAGTTTCTAGATAATACATTGTCGTATAAGTGATAAGGTCTCGTTAGATGTTTTGTGGTATGTCAGGACTCTGTTATCGAAATACTAGTATAAGGGATGTATTGGAGGTCTGGTTCCTATCAGATGGGAGTAACTGGATGCCCCAGTCAGTTGTACTCAACGATCTGCCAGTGGTGGTGGGATTAATATTTGCAAGGCTTTAGCTAAGTATATAAAAATCACTAAAATAAGTAGTAGAGTCAATCCAAAATCATCAGAAGGGTAGAAAACCAAGGATAAAGGTTCGGAGGTTACGGTGAAGCAGTGGGGTTGTGCTTACAGAGCAGAGAGACTGGCGTAGAACAAGAACAACCACTTCGATTCATATTCACCCACCTCGAACCCGGGCTCGCCTCTACCTTGCTGGGTGGTTTTAATTATTTCATTCCACCAGTGAAGCTGTCTATCCGTTTGACATGCCTAATCACAGAGCAAATCCCGACTAGCTTCATAGTATGTCTTCAAGGCCAGATCTGGATCGGAATCTCACGGTGGATCGGAGTATCTACTTCGCCATCTTGCGCTCACTTAAAGTGAATCAGAGATAAAGATAGGAAGAGATTATCTTGACAACAGTGAATGCGCACGCTGAATTTCTGCCTGCGCCAAATGTATGCGCTTTGAGCCTGTCTCTCTACGCTTAGTGGCTCAAGGCGCTGACTCCAATCCCCGCATCTACGACTGTTCGATTCCACTGTGAAGTTTGACTATTGCTTCGAATCTACTCTAAATCGCGAATCTTGACAAAAGGGCCTGCTTCAAAAGACCTTAATGATTGAGATTGGACAGAGAGAGATTTCATGCTCTATCAGGAAGCTTTCCCCAGTGAATAGCTTCCTCTCTCGCCTTTCGCCTCTGATTGACTCTGACACCAAAAGGGTGGTCCACTGCCATCGATCAAGCGAATGAAAAGCAGCGACCGAGGTAGCAGCTCCTTCACTAAAAGACTATGGAACCTATTCCGGTCATAAGCTCGCGCTGTGCCCCCCTCCCCTCATTCTGCGACGTGCATACCACACATATTTCACTGAATATCTCGTACTGAGATTAATCAGACCACGCCCTCCATTGCGACAAACAGTCATTGCAG